TGTGGCCAGACTGGAACAGGACGATTAAAATGTCAGTTACAAAAGAGTTGAACTTTATGCAAAAACTATAGCTCTCACGTCACTACAACCTTATACGGTGTATTAAAATCAACAATAGGCAGATGTAGAGTGTTAAGGATGGTGCAATCGGGAATATTCAAAGTGGTAATGAGCTTCCTTAAAAAAAACTGTTTAAAAAAAGAGTTCCCAGTGGTTCAGTATATCCAGCCTAATCTATGGATTCAAAGGGACATTTTGGAGGACAGCACGAGTGTCCTCCATTATATTGTGGTATTGAAAGGAAATGGCCTTGGACTCAGACTGTCTCATTTCAAATCCTAGCTCTTCCTTTTACAAGCAAAGGCACTCAGTGTTTTCAAGGCTCAGTTTCTTCTGCAAATTGGGAATAATAAGAGTATGTACTGACAAAGAAAAATTCTGAAATGCCCTAAATTAAATTTCAGTATGCTGGAGGGTGTAACAATGAGACAAGAGAGGGTAATCAGTTAACAATTGCAGGACAAAACCAACAAAAGAGGGTAATCAGTTAACAATTGCAGGACAAAACATTCCTGGATGTGTGTTGAAACTTTGAATTAACTTCCAGGTAGCTGATTCCATGATTATCCAAGGAGAATAGCCAAGTAGTCGACCACCAGGTGCTTACGCCTGAACTTTCCAGACTGTTGCCCACCACCAAGCTAATGAAGCAAATATTTCTACCTTACGGACTCAGCACCTATCCCAGATCATGCCCCACTTCACCTTCTCCCACCCCCTTACGCTATAGCCAATGTAAATTCTTTCAAAACGACTTAAATTTTTCTTCCCCAGACTCGATGTATATAAGCGCCTTTCAACTCCAGGATGGCAGATGTGTTGTCTTCTCTACCCATTCCTGCCGCCGGTAGTTTAGGCTGCATGCCCCAGGACCTGGTCCTTTTTCTGGATAGCTCAATAAATCTTTTCTTTTAGAAAAGCTTTCGGCTATAAAAGTTTTTTATTTAACAGTACTTTAGAGAATTGTTATGAGGATTAAGTAATGTATATCAAGTTTTTATCTCAGACTTTGCTGATAGTATTATACAATAAACATTATTAAAAGCTTTCCAGGATTCCCTTGTAGCTGAAAACATGCTGAACTGGAAGCTTTTGTCTTGGTTGGACTAGGGTGGGGTGCACTGTCCTGCTCATCCACATTCCCTTTTTCTCTGACCCCCATTCCTTTCTCTTTCACCTTTGATCCTTCTCCCTCGTTTGGGTCTTTTTCTTCTTTCCTCTTATATAAGAGTTTAGGGCTTTGCCTTAAGCTTCAGGAAAGGTAATACATAGAAGAGTGACTTATTCTCTTTCCTAAATTCTATTGAACACTTCTTGAAAAGAGTAGAGGATTTTTCTGCATTGTAATCCTAAATCATTGTAGGAAATTGGAGTTGGATCATATGAGGGTGTTTTTGGGGTGTGTGTGTGTGTGTGTGTGTGTGTGTGTGTGTGACAGACAGGTGGTGGTGTGGAAGATGGTTGTGGTGATGGAGAATGAAAATTGCGAGCGGTGTGTGCAGCACCTTGACTGCCATTCTACCTTGATTTGGAGAGGGGGTCCAGCATCTTTTGAGATCCCAAACATAAAATTCATTATGTACATTCATCATTATCTTGGCTCTTCTGTGATCCCTGAACAATAAATACACGAAGAACTGTTTAATGCAATTTCGAATTGAAGTAGATTTTGAGTAGGGGATTTTCTATTTGCTTCTAGCTGACTATAGATCGACAGTTCTCTATCAGTTTTTATTTTGCTTTTGAAAGAATGATAACACCCTTTGGGGCTACAGCTGTCCACTTGTAATGTCAGGTCCCACAGGCTGAAATCCAACCTGAAATCTGTCCACTTGTCAAGTCATTAGCCCTGTCTAGGTGGCATCCACCTGGAAGAAAGGAAGTCCAGTGTAGGGTAGTATGCTCAGTCCCATCAGTTTGACCAACTGATGTGCTCCTCTCTCTGAGGGTAAAACTGAAACATGCAGGATATTGGAATGCATCTCCTCACTGAACTCAAGCATATAGTGCATGAAGCTTCAAATCCATTAATGTGCTTTAAAACCCATGTACTACCTCTCCTTTTTCTTAACCCTGCGGAGAGGTATTTTTAGTTCCAGATGCTAAAACTACTGTGATTCAAAATCTTTTCATCGCTTTCCTTGCAGTGCAGATGAGTCAAAACCAGAATGAAATAAAACTAGAAAATATTTTTTAAATAACGTTTAATGAGTACACATTTACAAAAGCAGTCGTCTTTAAACATATAAAAACAAAAGGTCTATGAGCTTAGTAAAAATTTTCCTAGAATACAGGAAACACACCAGCAGTGAAGACATTTAGTCTAATTTTTTTTTATGTAAAACAGTTTGAATCTGTTAAAAGGAATACAGTTCACTCAATGTGGCAATTTCCATCTGTTCCAAATTCATTCTTTCCACCTTCACTAAACTGTGGGATTTGGCTGTGTTAGGATGGTCAAATTAGTCTGACGATTTGGGAAGGTAGGGACTTCAGGAGAGAAGAAAGAAAATTGTCTTCTCTGGTCAAGCTGGTAGGGTTTGGAGCCTTTCCGGTTGAGGCCAATGGTCAGGTCTGGCAATGTAGTGTTATGTCAAACCACCGGGGGCGCTCTTTAGCTCTGGCTTCATGGATAGCTTCTACTTTAAGTACCGAGATAGAGTATTTTTACTGCATTATAAAAGTAGAGTCCATTTTACTCCAGGAAAGCTTTTGTTACTAGGTGTGGTATTTCCTATTTTTAGTGATGAACTGTGAACCAGTAAAAACATATTGCTGTTTTACTAAAAATGAGCATGGTTAGCCCAAAAGGCTTTCTTTAGGTCAGCCTAATCTTATTGAACTTGTTTAGATAGTGGCTAATCTTTAAGCAACCAATTCTCTAGCCAAAGGGCAGGCTCCAACCCTAAAACACTTGGCTGTTTTACATAAAATAGAGTGAATGAGTAGTGTCATTTTCCTGTCTTTCTCATTGATGCTTCAGGATCAGCATCACACAGCACAGCTCTGTTCAGTCTTCCAGCTTATTGTATCCTTGCTTGGATGGATCAAAGATACATTAATGGATCATATGTTCTGTGTATCTTCTCAGTGAATGCCAATTGAAATATGAAACAAAATCTATAAGGGTATGATGAAACCACACCCTCATCCAATGCCAGTGATATTGACAAGGTCACTTTAGAAATAATTTAGCAATATATATTAAATGCTATTAAAAGCTCTTTAGTTTTGTAATTCCAATTTTTGGCAAGTATACTGAGGAAATAATTGAAAATATGTAAAAAAGTTGTAAGTGCTAGGATATTCTTTGAAATGTTATTTGTTTTAGTAAAAAATGAATGTAACCGACATATTTAATGATGGCAGTGATTAATAAGTGCCCATTTGATGTAGTGTTATGCAACTACTAATTAAATACATATACCACGTAAGTAAGAGAACAAAGCCGCTAACACATTACGTAAAAAAGGAAAGGTATAAAATTGAATATACAGTATGGATAGAACTATTTTCAAAAAGTTTTATAGAAAAATATCCTGGATTATGGGTGATATTTTAATATATTTTAATCACTTCATATGTCATATAAAATACGATAATAAAAGTAAAAAAGAGAAAAATAAATGATCTTAATAGAGCAGGCGGAAAAATGTCAAACCCAAAGCATTTTGGTTATTTTGGTATGTGGGAAGATCTTACACAAGGCTCCTTTTAGCAACATGTA